GTTTACTTTTGGGGCATGAAAAGCTGGTTCCTCTAAGCTTCCAGTTCTCTCTTTTGATTGTATATTGGAGTGGCCAGATTGCTTTTGTCTTCAGGAGTTTCCACAGAGGCCCAAGTCAGATGAGGATCAGATGCTCTCAAGCTTTCTCCCAAGGCCTGGATCCCTCCAGGAAAGATTTTGTCCTCAGGAATTTTGGGGTTGGACTGGCCTCAGAGCCGGGCCCAGGAAAGATGCTGGTCTAGGGTAGCTGGTGGCTGTGCCACCCAGAGATGCAAAGGAAGATGGGGGTGGGAAGCAGCCCCAAGGGCTCCTGGGGACTGCACTGAGGAGCTGGGTTGGCCTGGATGCAAAGGATCGGGAAGAGGAAAGGTCAGCCCCAGCGTCCAGGAAAGGGGCTGGCGGGTGGTGCAGGCCCAGGGAAGTAGACGGAGGTGAGGGTGGGGCCAGGCCCAGAGGCAGTGCTCCTGGGGCCCAGAGAAGGCACTACGTTGGTCTGGGTGCAAAGGATCAGGAAGCAGTGGTGGTTCCCCAGGTGTCTGGGGCACCAAGACAAGGAATGGGACAGGACCCAGGCTGGGACGAGAGACCGGAGGGGTAGATGGGAGGGTGAATGAGGCTGGGGGAGTCAAGGCGCTGAGGGCATGATGGACTTACCCGGGAGAGAGGCCTGCAGGTCCTGCAGGCCCAGGGAAGCAGAGCCCAATAATCAGCTTTAAAAGAGAAAGGGTTTATTTCTGTTCCAGAAGCTTCTGTGCTTCTTTTGCTTTTGTGCCTGTGTTGAGGTACATCGTGACAGAAACACAGGAAGCTCATTTACCTCAAAAGCAAGACGTGAAAGAAAAGGCACCCCACAGTCCTCCTCGAGGGCACACCTCGATGACCCACAGCCTCCCACTAAATCCAACATCTAAAGGTTGCCACCACCTTCTAATAGGAACCAGCTGGAGACCAAGCCTTTGGCTCACGGGCCTTTGCTAACCATAGCAATTATTATTATTTTTTGCAGGGGGTCCTTTTGAGACAGGGTCTCCCTGTAGCCATAGCTGGCCTGGATTCGCTATGGAGACCAGGCTGACCTCAAACTCTGAGAGATCCATTTGCCTCTGTCTCCCCAGTGCTAGAATTAAGGCATGAGCCACCACTCACTTATATATAATTGTTTATATAGATGTTTATATATAAACATATATAAACATATATATATATGTTATATATGTTTATATATGTTATATATATACATGTTTATAATTGTTTGCTAATTATTTCTAGTTATTTTTAGTTTCTACACATAATTAGAAATAATGTTATGGGGGAGGTGCTCAGCGGAAATCAGTGGAAGTGCTTGGCACACTAGCGTGAGGACCTGAGTTCAAATCCCTAGAACCCATGTAAAGCTGAGCCCAGGAGCTCAAATCTGCAATCCCAGTGCTCCCAAGGAGAAATGGAGGCAGAGACAGGAGAGTCCCCTGAAGCTGGTGGGCCGGCTGGGCTGGCATACATACACAGCATCAAACAAGAGAACACATCTCAAACAAGGTGGAAGTTGAAGACAAACGACTGAAAGTTGCCCTGTAACTTCCATGTGTGCGCAGTGGCATATATGGGCCGTAGTCACACACATCAACACACCACACACACACACACACACACACACACACACAATCACTTAATTAAATTTTAAAATATAAAGGTTGCCTTTTGGTTTGGTTTTGCAATGCTGAAGATGGAACTCAGAGCTATACACATGCTATGCAAGTGATCTACCACTGAGCCATATACCCAGTACCCAACACACACTTTTTTTTTCTTGAGACAGAATCTTACTATGTAGCCCAGGCTGGCCTGGAGCTCACTATGTAGACCAGGCTTGCCTCTGCCTCCTGAGTGCTGGGATTAAAGGTGTGTCCCACCACACTTGGCTATAAGACCTTGATTTTTAAATACAGGGTCTCACTAGACTGGTCTCAAACCCATAACCCTTCTGCCTCAGTATCCCAAACGGTGGGCTTGCAGGTATGTGCTACCATGCCCAGCAAAACTGCATTAATTTTTTTTTTTTTTGCTCTACTCCCCCTGCAAATGGACAATCAGTCCCAGCGCATCAAGGCAACAGATTCAGAAAAACAACATAAGAGAAGCCTCCAAGGTCTGAGCACAGCCTGACTGGTTTCCCAAAACTCATTTCTAGAGTCCAATGTCAGGCAGTGCTTTTTCCCTCCCTGTGACCATTGGGAGGTTGCTGGTTGTAGGGGACGGACAGACAGAATCCACGCTATGCATAAATTTCACTAACAAACGTCAGCACATATCTTATCAATTCCTCAAGGAGAATTTTCTCCTGGAAAAAGCCACTGAGGTCCAGAGGTCAGGAGAGCCATAACCAAGCCGGCCTCAGGGAGAAACAATGGATAAGGAAGGTGGCCAGCAGAGCCCGGCCAGGGTGTCATCTGAGAGTACCTGTTCTGCCCCCCAAACGAGGATGGAGAGCACAGGGACCCCTTTGCCCACCCCATCCTTGAAGGGGGTAAGTGCCGACTTCAAAAATGTTTTAATTTATCCTTATTTTATGTGCATGAGTGTTTTGCCTGCATGAATGTAAGTGCACCACATGTGTGCAAACCTGAGGAGGCCAAAAGAGTGCATCAGATCCCCCAGAACTGGAGTCACAGACAGTTGTTAGTCTGGCACTTTGAAAGGCCACTACAGACCCTCCACTCCAGCCCTGCTTCCCCATGCTTACACTCTGACCCTGGGGCCTGCTCCCTCCGAGCTGCTCTGGGTCCTGTACTCTAGGGATTATCTTGGTCACAGGGAGCTCAGGGGATTGCCCTAGTTTCCCAAGGGGCTGTTCTGGAACCCAAGGCCAGTCAGTTGTCCTCCAGGTTCTCAGTCTGTGGCTTCCCTGTCTAGAATGTTTCTTCTCTAGTTCTTCTGCCACACACACACACACACACACACACACACACACTCACACACACACAGTCCCCACCCCCCACCCTGGGATACTGGCCTGGAGGGTTACAGCCTGCTTCCACTAGCAGGCAAAAATAGCACTTCCTGGGTCTGGAGAGATGGCTCAGCAATAAGAACACTGACTGTTCTTGCAGAAGACCCGGGTTCAAATCCCAGCACCCACTTGGCAGTTAACAACTGTCCGTAACTCCAGTTCCAGGGAAATCTGACAGTCTCTTCTGTTCTCCTCGGGCATTGCACAACACAGGTGCACTTACTTACATGCAGGCAATACACGCATACGCATAAAATGAAAATAATAAATAAAATATTTTTTAAAATAGCAGTTTCCCGATTGGTTCTGAAATACCCTGAGCCCCTCCATTTTGTGTAAGTGTAACTGGTCAATCATCTGGTCACAGGCTCACCCCTAGGAAGGCGGGTCATGCTAAGTAGGCGGTGGAATACCTAGTGCATTAATGAGATAGCGAGTTTTTCCTGCCTGGAATCCCGCCTACTAGCACAGAATTTCCAGACCAGCTAAGGCCATGCAGTCTTTGAGTTTGCCTGCTTCTGAATTCAGAGAAGCATAATCTTTTCTTCTCCGTATCCCTTTTCTAAACACGCTTTCTTTAAGGCTTTGGGCTGCCCCCAGCATCTTGTATTCCTTTACTTTCTCTAAAGCTTCCTTCGCCCAGCCACGTGCCTGACCCCATGCCTTGGCCCCTCCATTCTCCTCTCCAAGGCAACTGCCAAGATTACTAGCTCACCTGCCCTGAGGATATTTCTTTAAAATTCAAATAAAATTGTAAAAGTTTAATTCAGCTGATTCAGAACTTTCTGAGTCTGGGTAGCCTTTCCGGGTGGTCCCGAACTCCCTAACAGTTTCATGTAATAAACAGCTACTTCATGCTCCATCTACCATGGACAGAGGCCAGGCCTGCAGACAGGCCTTCCCTACCAGGATGGACATCATCCCCTAAACCATGAGCTACCATAAGCCTCTCCTTTAAGTTGTTCCTGTGAGGTATTCTGTCACAGTGACAGGGGTAGCTAATACAGGGACTCCAATCAGCTACCCATGTTGACTCAAAGACACTTCTGAAAGAGGTTTCCCAGTGCACCCCATTGGAATGGGCCCTCAGCCCGTGGACTTCCATCTCTGCCTGGTCTAGTAACCCTACAGTCCATCGGTGTCTGGAATGAACATATTTGGTCCTCTGCAGGTCTTTGTTCTGACCTCCCTCACTGCACAGGCAGCCTTTTGCTGGGCCTGTTTCCTGGGCATACCCCACTTTGCACATCAGCTCTGGGGCCTAGCACAGGATCCTGCACTCAGGAGACACTCAGATGCGCCTTCAAGAAGAGAACAAATGTGAGCTGAGAAACAGGAAATGAAACTTCAGGGCCCTAAGCTTGAACCACCTTCCCCAACAGCCCCCTTCTCCTCCTTTCCCAACCTCCACCTAGACTCCATTTCCAGTCTAAGAGAAAGGAAGTGGAGGTCTAAACATCCTCACTTCCTGTCCCTCCCCCACACCAACCCTAGAACCCTCAGAGACCAATCCCATAGAGTCCCTGACCTTGGAACTCTCCCACGCAGCGGCTCCAGCCCACTGTGGTCCTGACTACCCTGAGTGCGTCCTTTTGCTCGGCCTTCCAGTACGGCTACAACATCGCTGTGGTCAACACGCCACACAAGGTGGGCACAAGGTGGGTTGTGGGCAGCTGAGCAGGGCCTGTAGGTGGGAGGAAACTACTGTCTTGCTTCTAGAAACCTCCATCTTCTGGGAATCCCTTAGATGCCCCTCTGCCTCTGAGGACCAGAGACAGCCAGAGGCATTTCTCCCAATGATATTATCCTTTCTAGGCACACTGGATTCTCTACCCAAGCTTTTGGGCCTTAATCCCACTGCCCTCACCAGGAGGGCCGTTTGTAGATGGTATAGAGATGAGTCAAGGATTGAACTCTGTAAGCATTTAGGATTGAGACTGGGGTGAGGCGGAGCAAAAGAACAAGGGCCCTTCTCAAGCCCAGTGTCCTCATTTGTTTCTCCACTGCTGTGACAAAACACTCTGACCAATACCAACTTGGGGAGGAAAAGGTTCATTCAGCTTACATCTCCCAGGTAGTTCATCGGAGAGCCCATCGGAGAGCCCAAGGTAGGAACTCAGGGCAGGAACCTGGAGGCAGGAGCTGGAGCACAGGCCATGGAGGAACTCTGCTTACTGGCTTGTTCCCCTGGCCCAAACTCAGCCTGCTTTCTTATGCAACACAGGCCCACCTGCCCGTGGATGACACCAGCCACAGTGGGCTGGGCCCTCCCACATCACTCAACAATCAAGAAAATTCCCCCACAGACATGCCCACAGGCCGATCCAATGGAGGCAATTCCCCAACTGAAGCTCCCTCAACCCAAGTGTGTCAAGTTGACACTAAAGCTATCCAGCACACCCAGTGTCCCCAAAGCCTAGTCAAGGAGGAAGGGACATCGTGTGCTGATGTGTCCAGGGGAGGTCTGAGAACTGACCACAGGCTTTGACCTTATAAAGGTGTAAGTGCCCTTGACAAGGTCAGAAGAGGTGAGTGCTAGAAACAAGCTTGGCTGAGTGGGTTCAAAAGGAGACAGATGAAATGAAGCAGAAACCTTGGGGGTAAACCGCATTGTGAAGGAATTTAGCTGCCTGGGGGAGTCAGAAGAGGAAGCTTAGTGGGGGATGCCAAAGGGTGGGGTTGGGGTTTCACACAGTAGGTGCCTTCTGTATACTGATGGGAAGTTCACAGGACAGAGAGGCCAATGAAGCAGGACAGACGGCCATGGATGCAGAAACGGTGTCACTGAAGGAGCAAAGGGAACAGAAGCCGGCACCTTAGGGTGTAGGTAGGGTGACTATTCACTGAGGTATGTAAGTTCTGCAGTATTTTTAAAAAATCAATGTCAGGGGCTAGAGAGGTGGCTCAGTGGCTAAGAGCACTGGTTGCTCTTGCAGAGGACTCTGGTTCAAATCCCAGCCCCCACTTGGAGGCTAACAACCATAACTTCAATTCCAGGGAATATGAGGCCCTCTTCTGATCTCCAAGAGCATTGCATGACATGGGTGCATTTACATACATGCAGGTATTACACTCATACACATAAAAATAATAATAAAATTTTTTAAAAAATCAATGTCCTGGGGACTGGAGAGATGGCTCAGCAGTTAAGAACAGTGGCTGGACTTGCAGAAGACCGGGGTTTGAATTCCAGCACCCACATGGCAGCTAACAACTGTCTGTAACTCCAGTTCCAAAGGCTACTATGCCTTCTTCTGACCTCTGCAGGCATTGCACAACATGGGTTCACTTATATACATGCAGGTAATATACACGTACACATAAAAAATAAAATAAAAAAAAAATCAATGTCAGCCAGGCGTGGTGGTGGCACACCTTTAATCCCAGCACTCGGGAGGCAGAGCCAAGCGGATCTCTGTGAGTTCAAGGCCAGCTTGGTCTACATAGTGAGTTCCAGGCCTCAAAAAGGCAAAAAAAAAAAAAAGAATGCCATGGGCTGTCAAGTTGGCTCGGCAGGTAAACATGCTTGCTGCTAAGCCTGATGACCTAACTTCCTGGAGCCCACATGGTGGAAGGAGAGAAACCACTCCTCGGATTGTCCTCTGACCTCCACAGGTATGCTGTGGTGTGTGTACCGTGTGCATGCGGTGCCTGTGGAGGTAAGAAGAAAGCATCACACAGGAGCTATGGACAGTTGGTAGCTGCCATGTGGTCTTGGGAATCAAACCTGCATCCTTTGGAAGAACAGTCAGTGCTCTAACCACTGATCCGTCACTCCAGCCCCCGAAAGTGAATTTTAAACAAGTTTTATCCAGTCTGGCTTCCCATCTCACCCTGTTACACAACAGATTAGTTTCTTCCCAGGTACCAACAGAGAACTGGTGGGTTCAACTGTGTCCCATGGGCAGAAATATTCCTCTGTGCGATAACGGGGGCAGCTGAGAACACTTAACGTCATTTCTCTGAGTTTCGTACTGTGCGACCTTGTCTTTCAGATCCTGAAGTCGTTTTACAATGATACGTACTTTGAGCGACATGGAATGTTCATGGATGAGAATGCCCTGCTTCTCCTGTGGTCTTGCACCGTGTCCATATTCTGTTTGGGCGGCTTGTTGGGGTCATTGATTGTTGGCCTGATGGTTGATAAGTGTGGCAGGTAAACAGGACTGTGACAGGCCCAGACTTGAAGTTCCTCTTAGCAAGCCACGCAGTTTCTTGGAGACTATGTCCCTGATGGGCAACTGAGCCAACCCTGAAAACCAAGAGATCTGAAAGCAACAGTCTGTTGCCACAGACTGCAGGGCTTACAGCCAGTCAGAGCCTGAGTTCCCTGGGATCTTTTCAGCTAAGTGACCATAGCATCCCTCCCACCACCTGCCCCAGGGGTGATGTAGCCTCCGAGGTCAAGGTTCCGATGGTACTTAGCCCAGTGCCTTGTAAGCACTTCTAGAGGGTGTTCCGTAAATGCTGCTGAAGGGGTTTCATTCTGGGGTCAGGTGGCTGCCCGTCCTAACAACAGCAGCCTCTCTTCACATGGTCACCGCGGAGTGCTGTCCTGAGGTTGGGGACAGGACTGAGTCACCACACATGCCTCTACCTCATAAGTCCTTTAGGAGCGAAGCCCAGGTCTTTGCATTTTGCTTGGCTACTTGGACTTACTGCCCTTCTGCCCAAGCCCAGGTGCTGCAGAGCCACGACTGCAGATAAAGAGCGATATGTGGCTCAAGGTCCCCAGGCACGGAAAGCCTGAGTAAAGGTCTCAGGGTGAGGCACATCAGCATTCCGTGTGGTCAGGCCCCTTTCACCTGGAACACGCAGCTGCACTTGAACTTCTTGTACCACATTTGGCTGTGGGGATAGAGGAGGGGCTGGAAAACCCTAGTAAAAGTAACTCAAAGATCACAGTGATGATCTTTTCATGCATAAAAGAAAATACTGCCAGATGGAAATTCATTATTTATTTACAAAAGCTAGACCCAGCAGCCTCTCCTTGTAAATACTTGATGAACAATGAACTTGCCCTTTCTTGTGCATATGTGGAGAAAACATTCCATGGATTCTAATTATGTCATAGTTCAGGCTTACGTGTAGTTCTCGGCTCCCAAAGAGCAATTGGACTGTTCTAGAAGCCCAGGCTTAACTTCTTTGTCCTAACCCCTCCAGTTATGAAAGCCTGGTGGTAAAGGAAACTTAAAAACAATCTTGTCCCACCCCCTCTCCAGCTTCATATTGCAAAGGAGGAGCTAGTAGTGGGGCCAGCCCTGCCTCGTGGAGTACACTAGCTAAGCCTCCCTGAGGCTAGCAGGTTTTTGGGGGTTAGGAAGGGTAAGGGGTACCAGGAGGATGAGATTGGTACATGATGTTTGTCCTTGAGTCTCCAGGAATTCTGGGGAGGAAGTGCTTTAAGGGCAGCCTTAAGGACAGAAAGGTAGCCAGGAAAATCCAGCAAGCGGATCTGTAGATCCTGGACCATCCTCAAGTGTTGACTAACAGGGGACCCCTTCTGCACCTATAAAAGTCAGGGGCTAGGTTCTCAAAGGTTGTGCAGAGTCTACAAACAGCCGACACCTCCAGGTCTAGAAGTGGGGGGCCATTAGCAGCTCCTGGAGTGGGCACAGAACACATGCCACACAACGAATTTAAGGCCCGCCAGGAATACACAAGACCTTATCTCAAAGCAAAAATAAAAAACAGTCCCCAGAGGTAACTCAAACAGACAGCAGGCATTTTCCAGTGCCAGTCTGGATCAGCTAGCCCAAGCTGGCTCTCCCTGCCTTCATCAGCACACAATTTCTAAGACAGGATAGGGATGGGAAACATAGTTCCATTGGTAGAGTGCCTGCCTAGCATGCAGGAGGTCCTGGGTTCAGATTCCCAGTTCCTCATAAACCAGCCTCGATGGCACATGCCTATAATTCCAACACTTGGAAAGTAGAGGCAGGAGGATCAGGAGTTCAAGGTCATCCTTGGCTAATAGCAAGTTTGAGGTCAGCTTGGGCTACAAGAACAAAGAAAATGGATCACGGAGGCTTGCAAGATACCTAGCTGAATACTAGTTTTCAGACCACCACCCCACCGCCCCCACCACAGACCAGCAGATTTTTGGCTCAGAAGGAGTTTTAGAGGTCTTTTATCCCCACTCTCAACCACACCCGCTGTGGAAACGTGATCAACATCCCTGACAATCATCAAATCTGGTCTAGTATCACCAGTGCCGCTTGAATACCCCCAGCCATGGGAAGCTCTCGCCCTCCTCCAGCTATTCATTTACCCCTCCCCCACAGCAGCAATATTTAGAATGCATGTCCACCCGCCCCACCCCTGCTGGACCCTGCATGTCCACCCGCCCCACCCCTGCTGGACCCAGGTCTTCCTTCCTGGAACTTTGATACATCCCTCCTTCCTTCACTAGCTCATTACAGATTAGGGACCTAGGCAACAGACATTTATTTCTCAGTTCTAGATTAAGCTGGGAAGTCCAAGATCAAGGTGTCAGCTGATTCAGTTTCTAGTGAACACATACAGATAGCTGCCTTCTGACTTTGTCCTCTTGAGGAGGTGACCAGGTTCATCCCCACCCGCCAAGTGCCAGAGTCCAATCCAAGGCCTGCCACAGGCTAAACAAGTCCTTTTTTTAAAAAAAATATTTTTATTTGTTATTTTTATTTTATGTGCATGCGTGTATTACCTGCAAGTATGTAAGTGCGCCCATGTCCTGCAATGCCTACGGAGGACAGAAGAGGCTGTTGGATCCCTTGGAACTGTAGTTACAGACAGTTGTTAGCTGCTATGTGGGTGCTGGGATTTGAACCTGGGTCTTCTGCAAGAACATTCAGTGTTCTTAACCGCTGAGCCATCTCTCCAACCCAGCAAGTACTTTCTACTAAGCTCTATCTCCAGCTCCCTTTTTTCAGTGTGTGTGTGGGGGGTGGATATGTGTGTGTTCAATGCACTCACTCTTTCTTTGGTCTTTGGAGACCAGAAGTCATTGTCAGGTCAGGCTATACTGGCTGCCAACAAGCCCCAGGGATCCTGTCTCTACTCCCTCAGTGTGGAGGTTACACACACATGCCATCATGCTCAGCTTTTACATGGGGCTGGGGACCCAAACTCAGGTCCTTATGCTTCCTCGAAAAGCACTTTACCCACTGGGCCATCTCCCCAGCACCACCCCCCATTTTCTTTTGTATGTCCCTTCTTTCTTTTAGGGGTGGGGCTTTTTGAGACAGGGTCTCCCTGTAGCCTCAGCAGACCTGGAGGTCGCCATGTAGACCAGGCTGGCCTTGAACTTCCAGAGATCCACCTGCTTCTGCTAGGATTAAAGGCATGCGCCACCACACCCAGATTGTATGTCCCTTCTTATAAGAGCACTAGCGCAATCATGAGGGGTCGCCCCTCATGACCTAATCATTTGAAGCCCTTCCTTCGGATACCATCACATTGAGGCTTAGGAGTCTGCAGCATACATATGTTCTGGGGGTGGGGGGCACATAGTACACAGCCCTATCCACCAGCCTGTTCTCCGGCAGGACCTAGCTCTCTGCAGGGAGCATCCTGGAGCACTGGGCTTGGTCTGAGCAGAGCTTCTGCCAAGTTCCTCTGTCCGTGGGCGCTGCTGTCTTGCAGAAAGGGAACACTGCTGATCAACAACATCTTCGCTATCGTTCCCGCCATCCTGATGGGACTCAGTAAAGTGGCCCATGCTTTTGAGCTGATCATCTTCTCTCGAGTGCTGCTGGGAGTCTGTGCAGGTACCTGGGTTAGCCACTGAAGCCCCAGGCTGGCTGGGCATGCACTCCTCAGGGCAAGGGCTCTGAGGAACAAGTGCCCAGCACCATGGGCTAAGACTGGACAAGGGTGGATGAGGCATCTTGCTGGCTACCTGCCTCTTCTTTCCAGGTGTTCTCTTGTTTCCATTCCCAGCCCTTGTGGGTAGAATGCTTTCTATCCCCTTACCCCACCCCCTTTTATGTAATGATGTCTGCAACAGGAAAGATCTTTAGAACACACTTTTGAGCTGGGTGTCCTGTAATCTCAGGACTCAGGAGGCAGGTGGTTTGCCAAAAGCGCAAGGCCAGACTAGTCTATATAGTGAGCTCCAGGCCAGCCAGGGTTACATTGAACTGAAAGAAAGAAAGAAAGAAAGAAAGAAAGAAAGAAAGAAAGAAAGAAAGAAAGAAAGAAAGAAAGAAAGAAAGAAAGAAAGAAAGAAAGAAAGAAAGAAAGAAAGAAAGAAAGAAAGAAAGAAAGAAAGAAAGAAAGAAAGAAAGAAAGAAAGAAAGAAAGAAAATCAGATCATGTCCCCCTGCTCAGAAGGCTTGGTGACTGTCCATCCTCTGATCCTCCATGGCATCCCACCCTGTCATGGTTCCCTTGCAGCATCTAGCCTGACTATCATTAGCCCTATTAGACTATCACCTAGCCTGATTATCATTAAGCCCTAGGACACACAGCCTAGACTCTGCCCATCTACAGGTGATCCAACCCAGCAGCCAGAAAAGAATATCTCATCACACTCTGCTGATGTCCCCAGCCTGGCAAAAGACTGATGGTTTGGGGGGGGCTTTAGTTGCAGGTTCAAACTAAATCAAGATCATCCTCTTTCCATCTCAACCCCAGAATCCCCTCCCCTCAAAGCACTCAGGGACAAGGAGATGGAACTAAGTCGGCCTTAGGCACCATATGTACTGCTCTTGGCTGGCCCTGATTCCCATTTTTTCTGAACCAGGCATCTCCTACAGCACTCTTCCCATGTATGTGGGAGAAGTGGCTCCCAAGAACCTGAGGGGCTCGTTGGGGACGATGATCGAGGTGTCTGTCATCACTGGAGTTCTCCTGGCACAAATCTTCAGCCTGCAGAGCATCCTGGGCAACGCCACAGGTAACCAGCAGCAGGAGGAGATGGGAAAGCCTGTAGATGTTATGATGTAGCCACTCATTCAGCTGAGCCCAAGGTCAGGAACCTGTCCCAGTCACAGGAGGCTGTTTGGGTGATCTTTAGGTGGGCTGGTGGACAGAGATGATCTTTTCCAAGGCAGGGATGCTGAGTGCTGGAGACAGAAGAAGACTTAGAGACAAGCTAGGCTAGGCTGGCCGGCCAATAAGCTCCCTGGATCTGCTATACCCATTCCCCCAATGCTGCAGTCTCAGGGTGTACAGCTACACCCGGCTTTTTACATGTCTACTGTGGACTCAACTTAGGCCCTCGTGTTTACAGAGTCAGTGAGCCCTCTACCCAGACCATCATTTGCTCAGTTTTAAAGGCAGATGCTCCTTGTGGGTGAGTCCTGGGGCAGCCACGTGTTGCAAGGTCTAGGTACCTTTGCAACCTTCAGGAAGTAGAAGGGAAAACGGCACCCATGTGGGGCCTGCCGGAGGATCCAAGTCTCAAGGCTTCTTGTTGGCTCTCTCCAGACTGGCCGGTGCTCTTGGCTCTCACTGGGGTCCCTGCGGTGATTCAACTGGTCTCCCTTCCCTTCTTCCCCGAGAGCCC